CACTTTTGGGAGCCAGTACACCGAAACCGAAATTTTGAAGGTTTGGCAACCGAACGCACCAAAACTCTTCGGAGGGCGTTGCATGTTCACAGACTACCTATATCAGTCGCCTTTTGCACGGCGCCTCGTGTGTACAGCTTTTCCGATCGGCTTGACCGCCCCTCAGCACCCCATTTGGCGGAAATCATGTCCTCATTTCCAGAGGGTGAGGAAACACCGACGCCGACACGTTCCTAAACTTCTGCGGGCACTGCACGACCGTCACACATATGGAGCACACCCTCAGCGTGCGAGTACGTGAGTTCATCCACTACACGCCTTATTCGCGCCGGGGCGGTGTGCTGGAGAATCGTATATCCGGCAATTCCGCCGCTTCAAAGCTGCTGATTCTGTGGTCGGCGATGACAAGTCTTTCGGTCGTGCATTGTACGATGTGACACTTCATGTATCTCATCTCATGCGTATTTCCTCTGGGTCTCACCGGTTGTTGTTCTGGGCACGTCGCTGCCCTCCTGCTTGCGGGCCGCCGTAACAAGTGCGGTCTAACCAGGTTTTGTCATGTTTTTTAAAAACAGGGGGGTTTCCAGACCAGTCTATTCCCTATACACTGCCCCGATTGCGAACCGTAACATCGATTGGCGGTTCCCCCTTAAGTTTATTACAGGTAGTTTTTTTTATTTTTCTTAATTTTCTCGTTTTCTCTGACGCTATGATTCCATTGTTAATCTGTCTCTGACTCTTTTCTATGATAGAGATGGACTCGTTGCGTCATATTAAGAAAAAAAAAAAAATGCGAGCGTTGTTCTCGCTCCGGGAGAACCTCGAAATCCACAACCTAGAGTAAGAAGGTTTCACGAGGTTGCCAACTTACCCGCTCAGCCACCTTGCTGTGCGTGACCGAAGACCTAGACGAAAAGGAAACACGCTGTTGTCCGTGTTATCATCATCCTTTTATCATCCGTGCTCAAAAAAATTCAAATTTTTTTTTCATTATCTGACAATAAGGTACTTGCTCGCAGGAGGGAGAAAAAAAAGGAATGATGTATCTACCGCAGGATAAAAAAATTCCGTGTGTCTTTCCCCACCTGAAGTACTCCAGCGCCATCGTCGGGGAGGGTGTGAGCACAGAGAACAGCAACAGACGGAGTACGCCAGTTGACCTTGCTTGCTAGAACTGCGACTTTGCTGCACAACGAACGCAACCTGCCAGGGGTCCCGAAGAATTTTGTTCTTGTGTGCCCCCCCTCACAGGATACTCAGTATCTGCGACCCCCCCTGGTCTTGTCGCGTCGCTACGACGCAGTCTACACTCTGCTGCAGCTGTGCGTGTCATCGCGCGTCCGTAATCGCCGCGGCTTCGGCACGGCATGGCTTCGCTGGTTGATGAGGAGGCCCAAGAATATACGGGTTTAGGTGGGTGCTTCCTGGGATTCGAAAGTGCGCGTTTTCAATGATGATATATTGCTGCGAGTTTTTCCAGCAGCAGAACAGGAGCGGGCCGGAGGGCTGTTTAGATGCGGGATGTGTGTTGCATGCTCGCTGTGGTTAGCGTTTGTGTCCGTGTGCATACTGCCATAGTCCTCCTGCCCCACTTCATGGCGCGCAGCAGTGTGTGGTGCACACACACGCACATGTGGAGTTCGTATCTCAGATCATCCCCAACAGCAAAAACACGACGTGTGCTATGTGAAAAACGTCGAGCGACGATTGCTACCCTTGCTGTTGTAGTACGACAGACGAAGCGCAGGTGACACCTCCCAGTAGACTTGAGAGCACACATGCTGCATTTTTTACGGACTCAGTCGGCAGTAACTCAACCAGCTGTCAACGAGAATGTAGATAATGTAGAGCAGTTTTCAGTTGTCTTTTTGCCAGATTGTCCACACAACAGATCATTGAACAACATTCGAAGTGTAGGACGACCTAATTTTTTTCGCACCCTCATGCACAGCAGTATCAGTCCAGCACACACCAGCTCGTTTTCTTCTACATATAATATGTAGAGGAGCTCTCGGCGAAGTGTTTCAGGTTGAGTGTTCTCTATACTCGTGCTTTACAGCAGGACTGTTGTTCGTTCAGTACAAGCACTTCTGGACGCGCCTGCATGTGCCGTACGTATACATTCAAACTGACGTGAATCTGCAAGCCTAGGAGTTTTGGTACATATTAAGCCTGTAGACGCCAGCACGTCGTCAAACTAACCTTGTTGTTTCGTCGGGGCAGCGGTGCGTTCAGCGTGAACGACAGCTATATAAGGGAAAGAGAGAGAGAGCACGCGCCATGGAAGGAGAGATGAGAGATGTCGTTGGACTCGTTTCCTATTCTCATGAAAAGCATCACTCTACACAAGGGCAGTGGATGTGTAGATGCAAAGAAGACCTCTCTCTCTCCCAGCAGGAGGGTCGCTCGGGCACCCGTCCGGTAGTCTGGGGGTTAGTGTAGCAACACGCTTTTCATACATGCGAACAATTCCAGCCCCTCTCGCGTTGTCCTGGGTTAAGTTAGGTACTGAAGTACCATTTTTTAGCATGTTTTTCTAGACCCCGAACCCGTTAAAGGCCCTGCTGTTACGACTTCCCATCATCGCCGGAAACGAGTGCTCAATCTTGCGAGAACCCTGGATATCAGAAACTGCCCCTTTCCAAGCTGTCCTTGAAGTCTACCTTTGTAATACTTCTTTCAACTAAGGTTCCACGGAAAGAAACTACAGCAGCCAGTAGCTTTCCAACCCTCACGTGCTACTGCCTGCCTTGTCAATTGTTCCACGTCCCCAGATCACCAACCATTCAGACCGTATTCATGACGTCATGACGTGGCCGTATTGCCCATGTTTGTGGGACGTCCCTATCATTGCAGCAGTCAATTTCCTTTCGAACACCCATGTGATGATTACTGACTGCCTTGATATTTGGCCCACCTCCTCAGATCATCGACCCTGTGTGTAGATTTTTATCGAGACCATATTGATCACGTAGCAATGCAGGCGTAAATGTAGGTTAGTCCCTGTCAGCACATACCAATACTTCTCGGTCGATTTTGTGGACAGAGCATTGCACAATCCCCGTAAACCATGTGCGATTCCACGCCCTAAGCTTGTTCCCTTCCCGCCCTATACCCCCCCCCTCTCGCCCCTTTGGTCGATGTTCTACTATCTCCCTCTCCTCTCCCTCTGCACCCGCCGCCACCTTATCTCCTGCAACGGCGGATCTAATGAAACCGGGCGTGAAAAAACGATTTTTAACGGAGCAGTCAGATCACCCGGTGGCGGTTCGCGTTACGACGCGCTCCCTTACGATGATGACAACGTGAACGTTGGACGGGAGGCCTTTGAGGTGGCCGGCGAAATTCAAGTGAGGATTTTTTTTTTGGCTTTGACTAACTTGGAGGAGTGAACAGCTCCTACAGCGCTATTTAGTAGCACCAGCAGTTCGAGGCCGCCGCAGCTCCACTGCCAGTAGCAGAAGCGGCAACAAGGGCAGGGACAACAGCAACAGCTACACACGAGAGATGCTCCCGCCGCCGCCTCGGGATGTTAGCGCCGCAACACCCCATGATGTAGTTTAGTCTGTCGGTGGGATAGTGTTAATGTTTCGCTTGTCGGCGGTACGGTCTCGTTTTCCGCTCGTGCCCACATGTTTGCTTCGCCCTGTCCTGCTCTCTACTTACCTTGTTTGTGAACATCCTTTTCGTTTCCCCTTGCTGATGGTTTGACGGAAACTGCTGATGGTTTGACGGAAATTTGTAGTCTTCACGCATGTCCTTTGGCGCACCACATTTGTCTTTTACGAAGTATATATAACCTCATTTGTCTTGCTCCGTATCCTTTTGTTTCTCCCTGGAGTCCATGTCCACTTCTCCGCCCTCCTCCTCCCCCTTTTGCCCTTCGACACCCCCCCCCTCCATTTTCCGTCCTCCGGCACGTGCACGTGCGCGCGGCGGTGTCTCGCTTAATCTGGTCGGTCGGTCTTCCGACAAACAACACGAAAAAAAAACACCCAGATAATCGAGCCGCGAAAGTACCGCTTCACGCCGACGGCCAGAGTCCCCACCTGCCCGCTGAGGCTCATGCCGCTCGATGGGTCGAGGGTGCAAGGAACGGTGGGACGCAGCTGCGTCGTGACGGCCGTCGCGCAGAAGGTGTGCCGTGTTGGTGGGCGGAAGGGGCTGGCTGTCGGCGTGGTGTCTGTTGCTGGTCGTCTTGTGGTTGCGAGTTTCGCCGGGGTTTTTTGCTGTTTCGCGTTTTCAGTTACACGATTGTCACGATTGCCCCTCTCTGTAGCACATGCTGCTGCTGCTGCTGCTGCTGTGTGCGCTCGTTTCTTGCTTTGCCAGGACCGTGTCTCGCACTCGACAAGACTTTGCACGATACGGCAGTGCACATTTTTGTTTTTCTTGTACAAGCCACGCTCGGCCTGGTTTGTTTGGTGCCGTCACACCGGCGGCCTCTCCCTGCTCCCATCCGCACGGCCTGCACAGGTGTGTTCCTTAATCCCCCCCTACTCCCCATTTCGCGCGTGCTGTCTGGGACCCCGTCCGCACTCCAGGGCACATGGCTCCAAGTGCGTGTGGGCGGGGCGAAGGAAGGGTGGATGCAGAGCCAGTTCTCAGACGGGACGGTTACCCTGGCCGAGGTTGATAGCTATCGAAGGTGAGGCAGACAGCCAGAGAGATGGTGGAGGTAGAGCTAGGCTAACCATGCTCCGATGATAAGCTCCTCTTTCCCAGCTGGTCTGGTCCGGCACAGGGGGGGGGTGGGCTGGAATATGGATCATCTGGGCGGCGCCCGTGCCTAGGCGATGCGACGGGTTGGCCGAGAATCTCTATCCGAGGGCAACAGCAGCAGCAGCAGCAGCAGCAGTGGGAGTGCCACACGTTCGAAGGCGGCGCCAGACGGAAGCAAACGACGAAGAGCACGACAGCAGCGGTTGTTGTGCGGTGTCACCTGCGAAGTTGGTTACATGTCTGTTGAAGTTGGTTTCCAGTGTGCTAGTCAACCCGCCCCGCCCGGGTAACGGCTCCTCTGGATACCCTCCTATTTTCGTGCCGGGACGCTCTGGCACGAGGCGGAAGCGTCAAGGGAAAAACGGCTACAGAAAGGTTGAGCGGGAACTATTGGTTTGCCTGGTGTTGCCCAGCGCAGAGTCTGGCCTTGCTGCCACGCGGCCGGCTTTCGGTTGAGTTCGATGCTGTAAGTCCCAGGGGAGCTAGGGAGTCGAGCACCAGCTTTGCTCGGGAACGACAGCAGAGCTCTCCCTCGTCGTCAGGATTTTGATAGCAGTCTAGCCTCCGTGAGGACTGATCGGTACACCTTCTGGCAGGGGAGCAGCGGAGTTGGGGGTAGGGGGGATCCGCGAAATGAAGTGCCGCAGAAGTTGTTGTGCTCGGGGTACGATAGGCTTGTTGGAGGAACACGTCGAAATGTGTTTAATTGCACCATTTTCGAAGGAAAACTCACTGCCCCGGGGCCGGTAGAAGAGGATTACACCTCACGGCATGTATTTGATCGTCGCGCGGGCGTTCGTCGACCCGAAAGCGGCCACGGCGATCGCAACGCGCAAGGAACGCCGCATCCTCTGCTGTTCCGTAGCCGATCTGTCTGCTCGCGTGGCTGGTTTTCGAGCCTAGGCCTGGGGAGCTTCAAACTCGGCTTCTGTTCGCCTCTTCTCTTTTGCTGCATGCTTTCTGACCCGGCGAGCCGCGTACCCTGACTGCCTGCCTGACTCGTCCACGTGCCTCCCCCCTTTTTTTTTATGTCTGTTTGTGTGGCGTCCGCTGTGTGAACAACGACTGCCGTGGTAAGACACGAGGAGTGGGGCGGGTTTAACCACTTTTTCTTGGGCGGGAGGGTGATGATGGGGAGCGACGTGAAGTGGTTCCTCAGCAGCAACATCACGCTCACCGTTCCCGCGATGCTCTTCATCTGGGAAATGTTCCAAGGGTAAGTACAGCAGTAGCTCGGTAGTCCTGCACGAACTGTCGATGGCGCCCGCCCCGACCCCGGTGCCCCCTCCCCCCCCCGCCCGTCTGGCCGCGTTCAATCGCCACGACTTGCTTTTGCGGCACCGGTCATACTGATATTTCGTTTCGCATCTATCGTGCCTTGACGAAAGGTGCTGCTGCTGTAGGGCAGCCAAGAGTGTTTTCAGGAAAAGGCTAGTTCGACATGGACGGCGGGGGGTTGTGCAATAAATGACATTGACTTCCCATCTTGTCCTCGACGTTTCCCCGGGTGCGGGTAGGGCCGGTACAGGTCACCACCACCCGCCGTGAAATTCCAGGACTCTGCGCGACGGCGTTCGACCTAAACCCGATGCCCGTCTGTGTGTCGCCTGCAAGCTGACAACCTTATTTACTGTACTCAGTTTCTCACGGTGTCACCTCCAACACCTCTTCCCTCTGCCGCCGTCATCCCAGCGTTCCCATGATGTCATTGACTTCCCCGTTTGCAACCATTTCTCTTGGTTCGGTTCTCCTGTCTGATGACCCACAAACCCGAAAGGTTTCCGGTGCGCGGGGGAACGATTCTCGGGTGGATTGGGGTGTCGATGTGGGCCTTCGCCATGCTAAACCTGTGGATGACGGCCTTGACGGACCCGGGAATCATCCCTCGTAACCCTTCCAACGAGCGAGCACCGCCTCCAGTGGGAGAGGTGTGTGCCCCGCTGCCTTGTTGTGTGTGCTTCCATTGTTTGCATCGATCGCGCTGACGGGCTGACCAATGAAAAGACGTCAGTCTCACTGCGGTTGAAAACACAACGCACTTGATCGATTAACTCGTTATGCGTGTGTCGGCGTGGTGTAGATTTAGATTGAATTTCGAACGACAGAGGCGGCGGCGGCGGCCTGTGTTGGGGGGCAGCGCGGCTGCTTTGGTTCCCCCTCGGGTGTCTTGCCGCTGTTTATTTTTGGCACGCACGCTGCTGTGTGCATGCGACGACGCACACGTAAGATCCAAGCATCGCACGCTTACGTTTCTGCTGGTACGGCCTGTGGTTCGTGGCACACCGTTCCGCTCTTATGGATGGGTGCTCCACGTTTGCAATAAAATAGCCTGCCATGACCCTCGGCACCCGGAGGCTGCGCCTGCCTCCCCGTCGCCGCGTGTCCTCTTGGGGCGCTCTTCCACGTTTTGTTTGTTGTTATTTCTCCTCGCTCCTGCTGCTGTTTAATGCGCGCTTCTTGTCTTTTCTCACCACTCCCGCGCTCCCGTTTGTACCCGCTGCACCGCCTTGTGGTCGACCTCGGCTGTCTGGTTGGAGGACCGCAGGCTATTGGGTTGCATGGCTTCAAGTACTGCGAGACTTGCAACATTTTCCGACCCCCTAGGTCCAAGCACTGCCAGTCGTGCAACAATTGCGTCGACAGGTGTGTGTTTTGAGAAGCCTGACTCAGAACGTTCGTCGGAACTTGTTGCATGTAGTTTACCTCCACCGCGCGATTTTCATTCGTTTTCTTTTTTTTTTTTCGTAGGATTTTGTAATGTGTTGTGTGGTTTTTTATCACGGTGTTTGTGATTCCGTCCTCTCGGCGAACCCTTCAAGCGAACAAGGTGGTGAGTGCTGCTGCTGCATCTCTCTCGCCAAGGTCCTGCTGTTGTCCAGCGCTCGGAATTGGCAAGGGCCGAACGCGGCCTGAGTGCAGACACCGATCGTTTTTCTCAACGCTTCGCTCTGTCCGGCCCTGATTCGAGCTACCGGAAGAAAGGCTCCTCCGCGGCCGCCGGCGATAGTTTCGGGCGTTGCTTTTCGTTTTTTGTATCTTTCGTCCGACTGCGACGGAAAGGAACCAAGACGTTGCGGTGTTTGGCCTTGGCTGTTGGTGGCATCCTTGGACACTAGACCACTGGACAAGACAAGGCACACGTCGTTTCCTATAGTTTTTTTCAGTCGATGTTTGTTTGGGGTTGTGTCTGTATCGTAACTTTCATGTCGTCTTGGTTGACGGTGTCCCTCCCTCCCTCCCTCCCTCCCTCCCTCCCTCCCTCCTTCCCCTTGTCATTGTCGTCCGTGGCAGGTTCGATCACCACTGCCCATGGGTCGGCAGCTGCGTGGCGGTCCGGAACTACCGCTACTTCTTCGCCTTCGTGGGGTCGACGGTGCTGCTCATCTTTTTCATGATGGCGGCGGTGCTGGCGAGGCTGGTGCTGAGGGTGCTCGTGGACGGCGACGGGTCGGTGGAGAGCGTCTTGGAGGTGGTTGCGTCCGGTGAGACGATGCGGCATGGGGTGTTTTTGAAAAAAACTACAAAACAACGTTGTACCCTAGAGATGGGACTGGGTACACGGGAGAAATGTCTTGCATAAGTTTCCCGACCCTGCCCGGTGCTGCTTTTACGAAAGATACCCAAGGGTACGAAGACGTCCTTCGAAAGCTCTCGAAGCGTGGCTTAGGGTACAGGATGTACCAATGTTAACAAAGGCTCGGATACGGGTAGTACCCGAGTGCATTACCCGGATACCCGCATAGATGTGGAACACCCTACAGACCCTTGCCAAGGGTGCACGCACGCCGCGTACGGCAGTTACTGAGATGAGACATGACGTGCAACGCGGTGTGCTTGGTAGTACTAGCTGTATGACTTGTATGACCTTTTACGTAGCTGTACCATACAGACGGCGCCGTATACAAGAGTGCGAGCAGAGAGAGATGCGATGCGTGTAAGCACGAGGGAAATGGAGGCGGTGATGACAAGGGCATTGTATTTGTGGTGTTATTTTGGCGGTAAATGTGAACGGGTCCTCGTAGCATTTGCCCAAGTCCCCCTGGTGTTGGACACTAGGCTCAGGGCATCTAGGGAACTAAACCGTACCTTTCACGAAGCACGTTTGTGTTGTTGTTGTACACGACATGTTTTCGAATCCAACGGGGCGGCGGAGCGAGTTTCGACTCACTCGCTTCCCTCTTTCACCTTTCTCCGGCCCATGCGTGGGAGTTCTCGGAACGCAGGCCCTGTGGATCTGCTGATGACGGCGATGGCGCTGCTCGTGGGGATCCCGCTGCTGAGACTCTGGTGGTACCACCTCCAGACGATTCTTTGCAAAGGGCAGACCACGAACGAGGACATGCGAGGTACCGTATTTACCTGGTGGAATATCATGTGGCAGCTTTGGATTGCCGTGTTGTACGCTCTCTGTCGCTCTCAACTCCGTGTGTGTTTGTGCTCAGCACCGGAGAATCATGAACGAAGCAATACTTGGTGGGGGCCGTGGGTATGCATGTGTACGCTTGCCACCTTCTGGCGTTCTCATCACACCGTCACCGCAACTCATAGTCCGTTTTTCTTTCGCCGCGCTCAAACCAACCGAAACAAACTTCGCTCGCCCTACCACGCTCCCCAGCCGTGTACCGAAACCACCACAACAGCTACCACAAGGGCTGCTGGCAGAACTCGGTCTCCCTGCTGTGCGCCCCCGCGCCCCGCTCCCGCCTCCCGGACCTGTCGGAACGGGTGTACGCAAATGAGCCTCTAGCAAGCCGCGGGAGCGGCACCCGCTGGGGCGACGGGGAGCGGGGGTCTCGAACGTTCTCGTGGATTTCTCCCGCCGGCGGATTCGGATTCCTGGGAGATTCTGACGGGGACTGCTCCGACCAGCGGCAGCAGCACCACCAGCAGCACCAGGGCCGGCCGCCGCGGGTTTTGTCGGCGGGGGGTAGCAGCCGGCGGACGAACAGCGCGGGGTCGTTCGCGAGCGCGAGTTCCTTCGTCAGCTCCGCGGGGGAGGCGTTGTCGGACTTGTCCGAGTTGTCGGTGGGCGGGGGGGGCGGGGAAGGGCCGGCGGCGGCGGCGGGGGGGGGGGAAACCCCGG